GACGATTTGATCTACCCTGTGTACGCTTCTGAAGTATCCCTTAAATCGCACTGCTATATCCATCTCTCGAGCTACTACTTCTCCATTGTCCAATATCAGGGGCTCTACCTTTTCACTGAGCCCTCCCTTAGATTGGACGTAGCGGTAGTATCTTTTTGGCTGTTATCTCGCACAATTTACCAGCTTGAGCCCATATTGTCGTTTGAGCTCCCTCTGAACTGCCACTGCTTTGTTCCTATCCTTGGTGTACTGCCCTCACGACCTGTGGCTGCCCGTTGATCTTTGATGTACTAGCTCCTATTTCCGAATAAGTTGCTAGTTTGGGGCAAGACGATATATTATCCCTCCAGTTTTTTCTGATTTTCAAGTCGCATCCTCCACGAACAGAAAACAAGAAACCATCGAGGATCCGAGACCATTGGGCGCCAGCCTCGAACCCGAGAGTAACGTCAGACTTCAGCACGTCTTTCGGGAGGGTTCCGATACATACGTTTAGGCCAGCGCCTGCCCAACCACGAAGAGTGCATAATACAAAATCCTTGGTTTCTGGCTGATCAGATCAATCTCGTTCTCCTATCACCAACAAAAAGCTAGTAAATCCGCCTTCCGTGTCCTTTATTTCCTAAAACTTTCTTTCGCTTACAAGTTGTCCATGGAGAGGTCTATCGCGACTCAGCCTGGATGACTTGTTTACGATTTCTAGTGCCGGCGGGTTACCTGCGTCCAAAACACGAGAGGTCTTGGCTTTAAACTTCAACCAAATCTTGCCAGGTTGGAAGTACGGGCCAACTTCTCACACAGGGTCATACCATTTTGAACAGATTACCCGCAGAAGTGGTCAACTGCCCCAGTGTTAATGCCTCGAAGGTGGCCCTGGTGGCATTTAGGTCAGAAACGTTCCCCGAAGTTATTATTTAGTATTTATAGTGAGAACACCAAGAATAAAATCCACCCTAGTGAAGTGGAATAAATTCAGGTTTGATTGTTGGATTTGTTCTCAAATTGATTGTCCAGGCACATGTACTCTGTACATAGAAACGCCTGTGGACCCAATAGTCTCGAACCAATCAGGCGAGGATACATTCTTGCTTGTTTTCCCAAGCACCCCACGGAGACAACGTTCTGGATACGGGGCTAAATTGCGAGGATCACTAGTACCAAATCATCTGTACACAGTGTTGGAAGCTACTTCCATCTACCGTAACTAATTCCTGACCACTTAGTTTCAGAGCGGGGGTAGGCGAAACCCAGTCTTGCAGCATCACTTTGCACTTTGAAGGTGCGGAACACATACCGAATGTGGTAACCGCACTTGTTAGTCTATCAGGTGCGCTTTACGCGTCCTCCATACATTCGAACAGATAGACGACATTGGCGTATTCTAAATCGCTGTTTTTCTTCAGCTGTCCATTTAATTCCCACGTTTTGGAGACCACTAAGTGCGTCCTCCAGTATTTCGTCTACGATGAAATTAAACAGGAACGGCCAAAGAGGGCACCCTTGACGAACGCCGCTGCTGGTGACGAATGGCTTAATTAGTTCATCGTAGACCCTATACGACTAGAGGTATGTGAGTACAGTGACCTCGTTAAGTTAACGTACTTCTGGGGCATTACTTTTCGAAGGGAGCCCATCAGAGCTTCACAGTCAATTGAGTCGAATGCTTCCTTCCGGTCAAGAAACACTGCAATGGTTAGTCGACGACGGGTGTGACGCAGCTCAAGGACCTGTCGCAACGTAAAAATGTGATCAAAACCTCCACGGCCAGGTCGGAATCCGGCTTGCTGTTCACGGATGTTGATCTCTCTTAAAGGAGGCTAGCACCTTGGTGACGATCGCGATTAAACTAATCCCGCGGTGATTTTCGCGATCGTTGCGAGATCCTTTCTTGAAAATGGGAACTATCAGTGATTCTCCTCAAGATGAAGGAATGTGTTCTTGTGCTCAAATATTGCTCAGTACGGTAGTAATTGAGCTTCCGAGGTTATCACCGCCCATCTTGGAAAGAGTGGGAGGGATCTCATCTGGTCCTACTGCCTTTCCTCGCTCCAGAACTTGAATGCAGGACCGAACTTCTGCTTCTGTTATAGGATCGCACAACACTGCTCATGGAGTTTCAGTTACAGATGAAGTGACCTGTATAGCGGCAGGCCAGTTGAACTGTTCGCTGAAGTATTCG